AATCTTCTACACACTGGTCAGATAGTTCAGAAGACAACCTTGGATGGAAAATTACCTACTTTTCTTTTTTTTAGAGGGTTGAGGATGTAGAGTGCATGATGCAGTTATGTTTTTGCACCCAAGGACATTTCTGTCTTTAGGAAAACTCACTATCCCAAAATCCAAATTTTCAAAACAAGTTAACGAGTTAGCAGTTATACACAAAGATATATTGACTTACAAAAAGTGTTACCAGAGCTTTTCTTTCTTTCTTTTTTTAATTGTGCTTTAGGTGCAAGTTTACAGAGCAGTTTTATATTCAACATTACGTGTACATTTAGTTTCACTCCCCATTTACCCATTTACCATCCTCAACTCTAACCCAGTCTCCTCCCCTCCCTCATAGTTCTGCACTCATGTGTGTCCTGCATTTCCTCCGTGCAAATGCTGCCCCTCTGGTTCCCCATGATCGATTGCTACACGGGATGCATTTCCATAGAGTATGTGGCTGTGTCACCCTGGGGTGAGTGGTCTGCGTGTACATCTTGTTCATTCACCATTGGGCTGAGAGGCAGCCCCGGAAGTGAGTTTTATTCCAGCCCCACATGAGGCTTTCTTTTAAACAACTATTCCTTCACACTTTCCCCATTGTGTTCCAGTAAATTATTTAGAAATTTCAGAGCTTACCACTTCATAAGACTCCTAGAGTTAAGCTCTTGGCTGCTAACCAAGAAATCAGAGTTCAACAGCCATTCAGCGGGAGAAAAGGCACTTTCTTAAAGATTTACAGCCTTGGAAATCCTGTGGAGCCATTTTGCTCTGTCCTATACGGTCCCTAAGAGTCAGAATCCAACTCAAGAGCAATAATTTGTTTTTTTGTAGATCTACCGCATAAGGGAAAGTGGTGGCGCTGTAGTTAAATCTACAACCAAATGGTGGGCATTTCGACTTCACCAGCAGCTGCGAGGGAGAAAGATGTGTCAGTCGGCCATCGTAAAGTTTTTTTTTTTTTTTTTTCAAAGAGCAGAACTGCCCCCATAGCGTTGCCAACGCTGTAAATCTTTTAGGAAGAAAACGGCCACATCTTTCTCCAGGGAGCCATTGGTAGTTCCAACAGCCAACTGATTGGTTAGCAGCTGCACATTTAACCACTACGCCCCCACGGCTCCTTCTCGTAAAGATTACTGCTTGGAAACCTTATGGGGCTGTTCTCCTCTGTAAATTGAGTTGGAATCCACTTAACAGGAACGCATTTATCTACTTCATAAAGCAAAAGTAGTTTTGAAAAAGTTATAAATCTGATTATAAAAAATCATTTATGAAAAATTATGAAATACAGATATTTTAAAAATAAGAAAAAAATCTGTATTTTCAGCGTTAACAGTGTTACCATTTTAGTATATTTCCTTACACTATTTTTTTTTTTAACATCTACAAGATTTGCATCCAACTAATTTTTTTTTTAAATTGTGATTTGGGTGAAGATTTACAGAGCAAATTCATTCTCCATACAGCAGTTCACATATACTTTGTCTCATGACATTGACCACAGTTTACCGTAATGTAACAGCCCCCCTCCCACCTCCTCCCCACAGTGACCTCCTCCCAGTGTCCATCCCTCCATGGGCTCCTGCCCCCTGAGTTGTCTCCCTGTGCATAAGCAGCCCTTCTTTCTCCCATGATTGTTCTCTCCA